TTTACAAAATTATCTAAACTCAGTCCTGACATATTTCAGAAAACAACTTCCTAAAATCCCACATTACCAAAACCATTACACAACTGCAGACAATTTCTCCAGCTTAACCGTGAGGAAAAGCAAACCACATTTCTCAAGAACCTACGTAGATTGTTTTCATCTCTGCCAAAACCATCCTATTTGATATGTAAAACATTTTCATCTATAAACTTGTGTATTAGGACAACTTCATCGATGAAGTTTAAAATGTAACTGCAGATGGAATACTTTATTAGATACCATCTGCCATATGATCTCCCATGAATATCTTACAGGTCTCCTTTAACTGCAAATATCAAAAGGGTAACATCTTAATAATTGTATACTTTCATTTTGCTATATGTTCTGCTAAAAGATAACTATGTCTACATAAATGTAAAATACCTACATATCTGCACTAATCTCAAAATATTTATCCACAATCTCTTTATTACAGAGTTCAGCACTTTTCCATAGATTTTAGATACAAGACAGGTGGCACATCACAATAGAAACCAGATGAGCTATAACATAGACAAATGTGTAACATATGGTAAATACGAGTCTCTTCCCGACTGTGGTAGATCATAGCAACATTTTCCCAAAATACTTGTGTTGTTTTATAGTAATGTAATATTTCAAAGCCTTATTCAGATGGTGATGATTAGTGTCTTGATTTTAGAAATATATGTCCTGAAACAAAATTGGTTTGTGATAATCTCAAACATTAGCTTGTTTTCCGGTATTTTTTGTCTGAAATGGGCTAAACTTCACAGACTGAACTGGAATAACAGCACACAATGTGGCAGTCTACATTTAAACTGCTTTCTACCAACAAGTGTCTGCAAAGACAGCCATCAGCATGCTAAATTTGTAATGTGTAGAACTAATGTTTCCAAAAACAAGGATACAAAGATGCTGACTACTAAATACAGTAAATTAACACCTTCTGTCTAACAGAGCGGGTTTAAAATAAGGTTACATCCGTCTCATATAAGATGTTAACTTACTTCAAAAATAGTTTGCACACATATGACTCTATACACAAAGCTCATTTTTAACACTTCTACTAATGTGACAGTTATGAACGGTTCCAGTCCCTGAAGAATTTCTCAAATAAAAATCTGGCAACCAGGCAAGTACATTACATGCCTAGCTACAGGGATCCACATGTGTATGTTTTTTTTTTTCCTCTAATTCCTGCCACTGCAAGTTTCAAATGCTATTATGCTGGTAAGTACATCTTACTGACTGCCAAGATTGGGCCACAAAATAGATAAGGTCACACAAGGTATTTCTCAAATCATCTGTTTCCTGTAAAGCCTTCAGTGACTCAGAAGAGAACTTAAAAATAAGTGGGGGAAACTAAATGTTGATGAATGACAATGTATCTGTGAAGAAAAGAAGCAAATTGCTATCTTTGTAAAATACATAATTGCCTCTGAGAACGACCTCACTTAACTATAACTTATTGCATTTTGGTGATTCCAGTTCCTGAATGGCAACAGTTTATCTTTAGGAAGGTTTTGCACTTCATAAGGACTTTTTTCCTCTAATTTCTCATGTGTATTAAAATATAGCTCTGCAGAAAGTCTGAACAGCTCTTACAAATGATAGTGGGTAGCAAGAAAAACTCTTCACACCTTAGGTCTCCAGGTAGCTTTGTTTTAATTAATTTATGTATTTTCATAACAAGTTCTCAAGACTAAAGCAATGGAAGTGTCTGCTTTCCTCTGACCTTTTTAGACCTTTTGACTTTATCATGTGGAATAGCAAGCTAATGTCCCCACAGTAATGACTGCTGCTGCTATTTCTTTTTCTTTTTTTTTTTTTTTTATTAGACTTTTCACAGTTTTAAGGAACCAGTTAATATGAATCTTTTTTTTAATTTCACAGGATTATGTCATCTCCCTTGCATCTTGTTTCTGTTCTATCTGTTTAATTCTTCCCAAAAATTTTGCCAAAACGTTTATTCACAAAATACACAGAAAAAAAAGAAATGCATTTAACAAGATATTTCAGTCAACATATGTACATGTACTGTCTGGCACATATACATATGTATGTATGTATGTACATATACAGGTAACAGTTTTCTAGGTTACTCAGATTCTTCAGCTTCACTGATTTCCAGGCAAGCTGTAAGTGCTCAGTATATCCAAAACTCATGTAACCTCTGTTACATGGTTTTAGATTAGTTCAGGTGCCTAAACGTAACACTGTGAACTTGAAACTTATTTCTGTCACTCCAAATTTCGGAAATTCAGATTCAGTGCTCCAATCAACATTCCCTGAAAATATAGTAAAAATAAGCTGATAGTTTGCTTCACTACAGTAAGCACTTGGTTCTTCAAAATACTTCATAAAGGTATGTATATCCTGCCAAATTTAAGTAAAGGAATTAATTACTGATAAAAAAATCTGTCTGCCAAAGCCTTCTGATCATCATTAAGACAGCTGTCTTCAGCTACCTTCAGCAGCAAATATTAATCAGAAGAGCATTTGGTTCATTTTCATATCCCCGAATAATTTCTACTGCTAGCGCTCCTCATTTTGCTCCCTGGTCATTGAAATTTCGATTTGGAGATCCATCACATGCAAGATTGATAAGCAGCATTCAGAGCCTGCTTTTCTGGGGGAATATGATGATAATGCCATATCAAATATTTAATTTCAAGCTCTTCGTTGATAATTTTGACTCAGTTCCTCCATCCTTTGCTATCTATGTCTTCATACCTTGCTTGTCTGTCAACTGTTAAGTAAGAATTTTCTGTGTTACCAGGAAATCACAGAATGATCATAGAAACATAGGATGGGTTGGGTTGGCAGGGACTTTAAAGATCATTCAGTTCCAACCCCCCTGCCACAGGCAGGGATATCTCCCACTAGACCAGGTTGCTCAAAGCCCCGTCCAACCTGGCCTTGAACCCTTCCAGGGAGGGGGCAGCCACAGCTGCTCTGGGCACCCTGTGTCAGTGCCTCACCACCCTCACAGGGAAGAATTTCTACCCTACATCTAATCTAAATCTACCCTCTTTCAATTTAAAACTGTTACCCCTCATCCTATCCCTACACTCCCCACCTTCCCTGTAGCCCCCTTTAAGCACTGGCAGGCCGCTATAAGGTCTCCCCAGAGCCTCCTCTTCTCCAGGCTGAACAAGCCCAACTCTCAGCCTGACCTCAGAAGGGAGGTGCTCCAGCCTCCTGATCATCTTCATGGCCTCCTCCGGACCAGCTTGAGCAGGTCTGCGCCCTTCTTATGTCGGGAACCCCCGAGCTGAACACAGCACTGCAGGTGGGGACTCACGAGAGTGGAGTAGAGGGGCAGAATCCCCTCCCTCAACCTGCTGGCCACACGGCTCTTGATGCAGCCCAGGACACGGTTGGCTTTCTGGGCTGCGAGTGCACATTGCTGCCTCATAGCCAATTTTCCATCCACTAGTACCCCCAAGTCTTCCTCCACAGGGCTGCTCTCAATCCACCCATCACACGGCCTGTATTTGTGCCTGGGATTGCCCCAACCCATGTGCAGGACCTTCCACTTGGCCTTCTTGAACCTCGTGAGGTTTGCACGGGCCCACCTCTCCAGCCTGTCCAGGTCCCTCTGGATGGCATCCCTTCCCTCCAGCGTGTCACCACACCACACAGCTCGGTGTTGTTGGCAAAGGTGCTGAGGGGGCACTCAATCCCATTGTCACGTTGCCAACAAAGATGTTAAACAGCACCGGTACCAACACTGACCCCTGAGAAACACCACTTGTCACTGCCCTCCACTTGGACACTGAGCCATGGACAGCAACTCTTTGAGTGTGACCATCCAGCCAATTCCTTATCCACCGAGTGGTCCAGACATCAAATCCATGTGTCTCTGATTTAGAGACAAAGCTGTCATGCGGGACAGTGTCAAATGCTTTGCACTAGTCCAGGTAGAGGATATCAGTTGCTCTTCCCTTACCCACCAACACTGTAACCCTGTTGTAGAAATACTTTCAAATGATTACTCAATTAAGGTTAATATCTTCATTTCCTTCTTGTTTGGTGGCAGATCTCTTTCTCAAGCAGCCAGTACATTTCACTCATTGGATATGTATTTAAAGTAGCAACAGCAGGAAAAGAGAAGCAAGTCCATTGCTATAAACAACTCAGCTAATACCAGTTTATTAGTAACTCTGAATATACAGAACTTTAAACATTTTCAGCATTTTCTCTGGGCAAATGCATTTCCAGATGAAGTGAGCTATAGCAAATACTAAAACTTTGCATGATTCTTCAATACCTGTATCTGAATTATCTCATATTTAGTGTTTCAATCCTGATGTTGTCCTCAAATATCTCAATTTCTCTTCTCTTTATATGTTTTTACTCAAAAAACATACAGCATACATTGATTATTTTCAGTCTCTGTAGAGTTAACAGAAATAACTGCATTTAGAAATTCTACTTTGATGTTATTTGACGCGTTGTTTGTACCTGATAATTCAACAGTATCACTGAATATATTAGCTGAAATTAACTGAAAGCACTTCTGCCAGCAACTTCTGTTGTTTTATTTACTTTATTTACACCTAAGCATAGAAACGATTGCCTTCATCATGAGAAACATCTTCAGAACTGTTGACATCTCAAGGCTCATTAACTTCTACTCGTAGATCACATCTGGTTTGGGTGTATTTAAGATTTACATAGCAGTGCATTAACAACCGCAGTCATAAACATTAGTACACTCAGAATGAGAAAAATAGTCATAAAAATACTTCAATGCAACACATCTTACTTTCTCTGACCTTGCTGACATCGTCCCAAGCCTGGGATTACAAAATGACAATATCAGACTGTATCATACAACCATCAGTTTCAAAAAATACAGAAGGAATATAGTCAACATTTATATTTTCATATGTTTGTGAAATATATGAAAATTAAAATTGAATATTATATATAAATTTAAAGTATGAAATTAAAAATAAATGGCAGTGAAAAATTGTATGACTTCTAAGAAATTCTTTTTGCCTGTTTTGTTATTTAGATGCCAAGAAAAACTGGATTATTTGTAGAATAAATTTTTAGTGTCAAAAATGCAAGCAAACATTGATTTAAAAATGGAACTTTATGTTTCACAGACAAACTACATGTAAAAAAATACCGCATAGCTACTGACACTTTTATACTGTGGCATTCAAGTGAATTTTTTTTTTCATGCCTAGATATTCCTGTGGTTGTATATTTTTTCTCCAACGTTCAGCAGAGGTTCTGTTTAATGAAAGAAAAATATAAAACTGCTTTGAGAGGATATTATATGGGGTGTGATGTGTAATCTTGGAATCTAATTAAAAGCTTGGGATCATTTTTATTTTAGGCTAGTTAGACGATTCCTTACAGGCACTGTTTAGAATATTAATTCTTCTAATATCATAGAAAGGACAATACATAAAATCTACAAAATTAAATTATAGCGACAGAAATAGTAAGTCAGAAGAAAATGGTAGGTTAAAAGTGTACATTTGCAAGACTCTTAGCAGTGGGAGAGAGAGAGAGAGAGAGAGAGAATAAGAATATTGGTGGCAGCAAATTTGAGAGGCAAACCTTGACTTCCAACTCAAACCTTTCAAAGAGTCCCGATGGTTTGTGTCTATGAGTCTGAGTTGCTGAATTGTGGAGAAGCGTCTCCCTTGGCAAGTGTTAACCTCATCTCCTCGTCCAGCAGTGGAGTACAGAGGAGAGAAAGCCTGAGACTGAGAATCACTGCAGCCCATTGCATGCCTCACTATGGCAAGGGCCACTGTCCCCCCTGTAAGTTTAGGAGCTCGTGGGAACCGGTGCTCTTACGTCATCCACTCAAAGGAGCACATCACCATTCACTATTGTCTCTGACCTTATATGTTCTACTTCAGCTGTATGATCTTACTCTTAATGAATTATTAGCATGCAGTTCAGCTCCTAAGTATTCTATATGAGCAACTACATTAACATCCAACTTTAAAAGGATTTAAGATAGTAAAATATAAACAGACATAAATGGAAATATTTTCATCACATTAACAAAAACATAGTGATAAAAGTCCAGCAGGCAGCATATTTTCACAGAAAACAAGTTTTATCAAGAAGTTGCTGTCTCTTTTTGTGTTGCTTTTTGTTTGTTTGGGTTTTTTTAAGGATTGCATTGGCCGAAATGCATATATTCTGTGGAAAAAAAAACAGGGCATGCAGCAAATGCATTAAACTGGCTCACTGAGAGATTTCAAAACATAGTTGTGATGATAGAGATATCAGCAACTAGAGTGACTCTAATGGGACTCCCAAGGACTCCTGGTGAAAGATTATTTAGCAGTATTATTGATTAATCAGACAATGAAAATCATGTAAAGCTTGCCATTAACAGACAGATTAATAAAGGACAGCATTACCTTCCTGTTGTAGATTGATTTGATTTGCCTTGCAGTCAAACAAAATAATTTAACGGTATCTAACTGCACCATAATACATCTGGGGGGAAAAAAAAAAAAAAAAAAAGGCTATATGCCCGTGTTAAAATTGCCTCAGAAAGCAGTAATCACAGAACATACCAAAACCTGTCTGAATACGAGACCTTAGTGAAATGATATGGCAAAAGGCATTAGCATGATCTTTCAGGGGTCTGTAAAGAGCAATACAAAGTAGAAGGTAGGAAGTTGCCTCACCTCTATACATCTACTACTATAACACTAATTTGGTATAATTTGCTTCCTAATTTGGTGTGTCTGCTGACAACACCAAAATACTGGAAAGTGTTCAAAAGAGTGTCACAGAAAGTGATCTAGATGCTGAAAAGTTAACATTATGATAGGTGTCTTACGGGGCTTAGGATATCCAGTTTGTTGAAGAGAATTTTCACAGCTGATATAATTAGTGCATCCCGGTACCTGCAAATGGAAAAGATATACAAGAGTAGGTGCTAGTCAATCTCAGTGAAAAGATGTAGTAAGATCTAGTGACCGGAATTTCAATTTAGGCAAACTGAAAAGAGATACCATTTTTTAGTTGCAAATAAGTCACACTGTTGGCTGATCTCATCACGAGTCATCAAATGACATATAATGTTAAAGCCTTGAAATCTGTGAATGCATCAGTTCCTCAATTCTTCACTTTCTTTTGTGGGATATGATAAAGTTTCCTGAATTGCTTTCAATATACTTGTAAGACATCGTGGAACAGTTTAGCCTCACTGAATTGTTGGGTTTTCACAAAGAAATATCTACACATCATCAGTATGACAGACAGGTCGTATTATATGTTCTAACCTTACATTTCACAAAAGCATTGCCCAATATGTGGATTTTAAAGAACAGAAAATTTAAAAACGAAAATTATTTACAGCAGTCACTAATTTACTGCCTGAATTAGGGCTCATAGGATAGGATGTAGTTCCTCTAATCTTATACAGGTGTGGACACAGGCTCCTATTCCAGTCAACAGAGGGAACTGAGGGAGCGGTTCACCTGGGCTATTTGACAGCCTTCTGAATGTGAACCATACCATACAGATGTTTACAATATAGGTATTAGGTGAGATGAATACCAGCCATGTACCTCATGTATCCCATGATGAAACCTGGGAAGTACAATAAGCAACATTTCTGACATAATTCCTTTAGTATTAGGCAGGAAACAAATTTCTCTTATAGTTAATGGGAGGGCTCTAATTCAAGGCCTTTTGACACACACAAGCCCTGGCATCAGACAGACTCTCAGACTAGCAGCTGGGGTTAGCATTAACCAAAGAAATGCATAAATTTCAGAATAAAAACCATGTGTGAAATTTAACTCTTCTTTTGGGGTGTACCTGCAAAACGTGCTAATCCAAAAGGCATTTATTTAGGTACAGGCAACACCAATTGACTCTAGAGTTAAGATGTAGCCTGGGAAAGCATGGGACAGGGATAAAGAAATCTCAGTTGTGCAAGGCTGTTTTCAGCAACCTGAACTCGGCAATGCCCGAGGGCTACTTGAGCAGCAGTAGTGCTGGGGGGGGGCACTGAGAGCCAGCCACCCCAGCCAACGAGATGTGCTTTCCTATGGGAAAAGAGGCAAGGATTTTAACGAAGGCGACATCTTTTATCAGTCTAACTTAAAAAAAAAATCCCCCCAAAACCAGAACATCTTCAGATCTTAAGACTACGGTTTCTACAATTACGCTAAAACCTAACATCTTCTGTTTCATATAATGCATGGACGCTGGCCCACCATGTGCCTCGGTGATGGGCGGACCTGGCGTGATTGCACCTTGGTCAAAAAAAAAAAAAAAAAAAATGGGTACTACCCGCAGGAACGGCAGCTGCCTTCAGCGATAGCCTGAGGAGGGCCCAGGAAGGGTCACACGCAGTTCTGTTTTCCACGGAAGGTGAGACGAGGCAGAAAAGCCGCCGGGATTTGAAGCAGGGATGAATGCGCCTTGGGGGCCGGGATGCTCAGCCTTGCCCGGACCTTCCCTCAGGAACCCAGACGACAACCTCCCCCAACCAGGCAGGCGGATGCCCCCCCAACACCGGCTCAGGCAACGGCCCCGCAGCCGAACCCCACGGGAGGGACCCTCCGCAGCCGAACCCCACGGGAGGGACCCTCCGCAGCCGAACCCCACGGGAGGGACCCTCCGCGCCTCCCCGCCGCCTCAGCCGGGGCCGGGGCCGCCTCCGGCGGGGCGGGGGCGGGGGCAGCGGCAGCGGGCGGGCGCCTCCCCGAGCGGCGCCCCCGGTCCTGACGGCGTTTCCGGGCGGGGGAGCCGGGATGTGCGTCCGGGTTGGGTCGGCCCCAGCGAGCGTTTTCCTCTCGCCTTCCCTCCTTCTCCCCTTCCCTGCCTCCTTCCCTCCCGAGCCGCCGCCGCCGCCGCCGCCGCGCCCTCTGAGGGAGCGCCACCCGCCCCGCGCCTGCAAGGGGTTGGTGAGAAGGGCGGGAATCGGGGGCCACCCTCAGGCCGGGCGGGCGGGGAGCGGGGCCGGGGCCGCGGGAGGGGGGGGCCGAGCCGAGCCGAGCCGAGCCGAGCCTCCGCTCTCAGCTTAAGCGCGGCGGGCAGGGCCCCGGCGCGGAGCCCGCCGAAGGGCGGTCCCCGCGCGGGCGCGTAGGTCCTCGCCTAACATGGCCGGCCGGATTGCCGGGGGCCGGCCCTGCCGCGGTGTTCGCGGGGGCTGGCCGAGTACCCGGTGACAATAGAGGTGTGCTCGTATTTAAGGCAATTAAACCAGAGGCGATCCAGAAACGTTATCTGCGAGGGGTATCGGGTGGCCCAGCTCCTCCAGCACCGGGTGCGTGCATGTGGCCGTGGGCAGAGCCGTTACCGGAGGTGTCTTTTCCCCCTCCTCCTAACAAATTGCCGCCCTGCAGACGCGAGGTGTTACCGTGATGGTACCCCGGCACAGCGAAACACGGGGGAAACTTTGCTTTTACGTGCGCCTCCGTTTCATCCTCAATTAAAAAAAAAAAAAAAAAAAAAAAAAAAAAAAAAAAAGGCACCAAAACATGAACGAAATATTTTTACTGTAAGACCAATAAATTATTTTCAACTTTTGCACATTGGAACTTTATATAAAAATCTCCGTGTCTGCTATAACCTGATACAGACTTTTAAAATGTAAATAACTTGTATATTGAGTACTGATAAGATAAATTATCTGAAAGTTTAAATATTCTAAAAATGTTTTAAGACAGTTGGATTATTCAATTCCTTGTTTGTTTGTTTGTTTAGAAAGACCTTTGGAAAAATGCATTATCTTCAGAACTACCCAATAATATTTATGCGGTTAGCGTTTTGATTCACGTGCCAAAAATTAATAAGAGCACACAAATTTATTTGATCATGATTTTTGTCAACTTCCTCAGAAAAATGTAGACAAATTCATAAGAACTGGATTAAGGGATATAGATTTATGTCTTCAGAGCATAAGTGTTGGTGTTAGGTGACAAGATCTGAACTGGGTCTAAGAGAACAGTGGCAGAAGTTAGAAGTTCCCGTACTTCAGACTCATGGTTGATCAGTTGAGCGTCTTGTGTATGTTAGCAGTGGAGCATCAGGGATGTAATCAACATATGACAATACATTTGTACAGTGGAAGGATATTTTTAACAAACTGTTATGTTAATTTTGAATTAATAAGTGGGAAATCCAAGTACAGATTGCCTAAGTAACTTGCCTGAGGTCACTTAAGCAGTCCGTGGCAGAGCTGAAAATAAATTGTACCATCTTTGTGAGTCCTTATGTGTGATCATATTTCCTCTTGCTTTTTATTCACAGCACTTTTATGAACATAGCTACTTACTTTGTTTACAGATCGATACTTTCCTGAATAAGCTAGAGAGTCACTTGGGCTGCAAAGATGTTGGAAGAAGATATGGAGGTGGCCATCAAGGTGGTGGTAGTAGGAAATGGAGCTGTTGGAAAATCTAGTATGATTCAGCGATATTGCAAGGGGATTTTTACAAAAGACTACAAGAAAACCATTGGTGTAGATTTCCTGGAAAGACAAATCCAGTATGTATTAAGCAGATGCCATACTATTGGTTTTTACTTTTCCCTCTATTTCTTTGTTCTCTTGTAATCCGAAGATTTACAAAGGCTTGGAAGACAAGGCATGATGTTTTTGAAGCACAGTAAAGGGAGTTGTTTTCTCTCTTGCACTGTGGGCTAAAATTATATCACTCTGTTTTCCATCCAAAATTTAGAGTTATAAATAAAATTTGGAACCTCTGTCGTACTAAGCTTTTTGACAAGTTTCCTTTGTATTCAACCACCTGTTGATTTTTTTTTTTTTTTAATTGTAATTTCTTGTGGAAGAAGTGGAAGTGCTTATGATAAAATGATTACACAAATTTATTAGACAACACAGATAAAAATGACTGTGGAAAAAAAGTAAATATGCTACAGATTTAGTCTCTTTATGCAATATAAGTAGATAACACCCAATTATGTTTGATAAAATGGAAAATATTATGGTAATGAGAAGTAAGAAAATTCTATAAATTCTGCAATCTGATAAAAAAGACAAAAGGACTGTTATTTGGGCACCTAAGTTTTGTTTTGATATCTATATTATTTTTCCTCATAGAGGGAAGTGTATTGGGGGGAAAGGAAGAGTAAAATAATACAGATTGTCAGTGAAGAGCATGTAATGTAATTGGGGGACTGTTGCTATAGTATGTTATGGAGGTCAACCGTTATTAAGTTACATAATATTTAAATCAAACTAAACTTGACTTCGATTACTCTAATACTGTAGATGTCAGTTGGTTTGAATTGCTCTTGTTCATTGTATTGATTACAAAACTGTCATTTATTTCAGGGTTAATGATGAAGATGTCAGGCTAATGTTATGGGACACTGCGGGTCAAGAAGAATTTGATGCAATAACTAAGGCCTACTATAGAGGTGAAAATACTATGTTATTTGGAAATTGGTGGTGGGTTTTTTTGGTCTGCACATCTCAAATATTTTCCTATGGGATTAAGAATTTTGGTTATTTCATGTGTGTGCAAAGCACCTTTAGATTGCCTTTTTCAATTCTTAAATATTTTTCCTCTCTATGCAAGATCCTTGCCCTTAAGTGCCAGTTTATGCAGGATGCTCAGTAGTGCCCTTTAAAAAAAAGCATAGAACAAAATGAGACAAATCTCTGCACAGAAACTGGACAGAATATAGCCATTAAAACAATCGTGCAAATTTATATTTTCCCTCTAAAAGTGTCCTATTACTTCTGTAAGATGTGTATTTGTAAATCTTCCAAAAACTATGGCGGGGGCATTTAGAAATTAATCCAAGGGAAAAAAAAATCCACCAGTCATCCTAGAAAGATAGTGTACTAGGCACAACAGTTCTCTTGCTAGCACAGGCTGCTTTGAACACGTTAACGGAGTAATGAGGAAAGTGTATTTACTTTATAAAATAGAAACTGCATTATTCAGTCACATAAAAGCAGTTTATTTAGCCAGTTACAAATTACATACTTAGGCTTTCTTTGCATATAATTTAACAATGGTTGTAAAAATCTTTCCTTTTTGTTTTTTTAATGTGAAGAGATACGAATGACTTGGCAAAGATTCCATCGTTCAATTCTTGTCAAACTAATTACCTGATGGCTGGGAAAAAACATGTTTCTGTGATATAAAATTACCTCATTTAGAGAGAAAATATTAGTTATGTCATGCTGTTCCAGGGTGGTATAGCTCTCTGACCCTTTTATATTTCATGATCATTTTGTCAACTAATAGGTTTTTTTTGGTAATGTTTCTGGTTGTCCCTCATAATTGATGACTACCATTTCTTTAGAGAAAGATCATTCTTTTCTTATTTTTTTTATGCTCATGTGGCAATAGCTCATTCTGTTATTTTACAGCTGATAAGTTGAGCATATGAATTTTAGAAGGTAGTATTTGATTGTCTTGAAGCTTTCTTTTTACTATCCTGGCCTTCAGTTCTCATGTGCTTTGATTTCAGTGTAAGGTTGAACAAGCCACCATCGGTTTTATAATGAACATGTGTTTTCTGTCATAGCCTGAAGAAGCTGAGGCAAAGAACAGGAGAGTGAAATAAATAGGTGCCAGGTAGAAAGACCTGTGTGAGTCCACTCGTGACAAGGAATGTCTTTACATGTTTTCTATATACATAGGCTTTGTACTATTATGGAAGGAGTAAATACAGTTACAGAGTCTATGAGGATGGGATAGTCTGCTGAGAATCTCTGAAACCTACTGTCCTGTATTTGGCTGGGATAGAGTTAATTTTCTTCCTAGTAACTGGTACGGTGCTGCGTTTTGGATTTAGTGTGAGAATAATGTTGATAGATAGCAACAACTATAACATCAGTGTGTTAAGTAGTGTCAAGTCAGTCAAGGACTTCCTAGTTTCCTGTGCTCTGCCCACAAGGAGGTGCACAAGAAGCTGGGAGGGAGCATGGCCAGGACAGCTGACCTGAACTAGCCAAAGGGATATTCCAGACCATAGAATGTCATGCTGAGTATATGAACTGGGGAGGAGTTGGTTGGGGGTCAGATCTCTGATCGGGCATCGGTCAGCAGGTGCCGAGCAATTGCACTGTGCATCCCTTGTCTCTCCTTGGGTTTTATTTCTCTCTTTTTAAACATTATATTCCCTTTCATTACTATTTTTATTATTATCGTTGTTGTTACGATATTTTATTTTAGTTATTAAATTGTTCTTGTCTTAACCCTTGAGTTTTACTTTTTCTCCCATTCTCCTCCCCATCCCACTGGGAGGGGAGAGGAACGAGCGAGTGGCTGCGTGGTGCTTAGCTGCTGGCTGGGGTTAAACCACGATACCTGCTCAGCTGACAAGCTTATGCTCTGCTTGAATGAAGCAGAGATGCTAGCACTACTCTCTTAATATTTTTCTGAATTAGTCTAGGTATGCATATAATATCAGTGATTCTGCAGCCAGTTGGAACCTTTTTAAAGTAAAGATACAGGTGTTATCAAAGCAGTAATTGCACACAAAAAAATCCAGTGTCCTTTTCTTCAGTACTTTAACGTAGCTTTACAAAACAGCTTCTTACAAGAGAACTTCCATTTAAAATTTTCATCGGGAACATCCTGGTTTTAGCTGTTATGCTCCTGTGTGACACTATCCTGTGCCTTTGCTGCTGGTGTCTGTTGTACACAATCTGTTGTATGACAGAAGTGGCATATGACTCCATTTGCAGTGGATGAGTGAGATAATATTACTGTCTTGAATACTGCCAGTTGCTGCATACAGAAGGGTGTTTACGTGCCTAAATCCCGGGCTTTGTATTTTAATTTTTTTTCTCCTTAGAGCTCCTACATGGACATGATAATTTCTTAAACTTGTTTATGTTCTCAATAAAAGTTTAGCAATATTTAGCAGTATTAGAGTATTTAGCAACATTCTTAGAAGATGAAAAGAATTTACCTAATAAGATCTCTGTCCTACAGCATCTGCTGTTGAACTTTGTTGCCATACTAACTTCTGCGCTATACTGAAGCATACTTTCAGAAAGATCACATTTGATACTGTTTTGAATTGAGCATGAGAAGAATGCTCCTCTTGTTCTTCTCTTAAAGAATTATTTTGCAGGGTTATTGGGTTAATAAATGATGATATTTCCTACAATTAAGTGATCAAAACCTTCAGCAGATGTTTGAAAATACACAATTACATACATGTCTAGAAGTTGTCATCGCTGATGACAATTTTCCTGTGGTTGTTAACTTCCTGGTAAGAACCTTTCAATGTCAGAATCTTGAAGGTGCCTAAAAATATTTTAGTTTGATTCCTAATTAGAGCCTCTCGTACAATTCTCTTTAAAAAGTTGTATGGCCAGGTTGAGATATTTTTACTGTCCCTGTCCACTGCATTCAACATGTACTATATGTAAATTGAATAAGGAGGTCTGATGTAAATCACTCCCTTTTTACCTACCACATGCTAGGACTTTTCTGTCTAAACTTACTATTACCAAGTTATCTCCATGTTTTAGCATTCAAAAGGAATGGGTGGAAGGAGACGGATGAAGTGAATGTGTCTTGGCGTGGAAACTTCACAATGGATTTCTTAGTCTTAAAACTGAACAAGGTGATGTTTGTAGATGGTGAAAGTCTTTTAATAAATATTCTCATGGCCAGTACAGCAAAGAACTTGAGAGGCTTCATTAAACTAGTTTGCGAGATGATAGGTTAAATTCAGCACTGACAAATGCAAACTAACCTGCTTTGGAAAGAATAATTAATTTTACACCTATTTCACAGGATTCCAAGTGGAATTGCATCAGAATAATTGCATATATTAGAATATGGTGTGGAAAACAACCAAAATTTTAGAACACAAATAATAGGAAAAATTATGGAAGACAACTTTGCTACTATTTTATTGGTAGAGCTTGATTTGAAATTCTGAAGGCAATTCTTATTATTCTCTATAAAACCATACCAGAAAGGTCTTAATGGCATGTGAAAGAATGTTAAAGAGCATAGGAAAACTTTTGTAAAGATAGAGTGAACTTGGCTTTGAAAAGCTAAATGAAAGGAAACCTAATAAAAGAACTCCAGTGCTTTGTGTCAGAGAAAGAGAAGGACAAACGGAATACAGGAATGGGGGATACTTGGTGAAACTCATAGATAAAAGAAAATCCATACTGATGAAATAATTTTTCATGCTATATGTAATTAGACTGTGATATTCACCATGAAATGACACTAGTTTCAAAGATATTATCTATCTATTCCTTTTACAATCTGCTACTAAATATCAAGTATATTACAGGCATATAAATAATAAAGTGTTTCTCCATGTGTTTATGTGAGAAGAAAAGTATTTTCTTGAGGATAACAAAGGGCTACTGAACAGTCAAAATACCTAAATCCCTAATATTTCAGCTGTGGAAGTACCTCCTCAGTATCCATGGCTTTTAACTATTGATTGTTAAGGCTGTTACAAAACCATAACCAATAAGGTACAAAACATTTTGTATAATCTATCATAGTGCTGCGATGGAATGAGTATGAATTAGAAATACACTTATTTTCTCCAAAAGGCTGCTAAGCAATTTACTTGAAATAATCACACCTTTCTCTGAAAACTTCCAGTTTTCTGCTTTTCAAAATCGAAATTACCGTAGCACAAAGAATAATGTGAAGTGTGCTTTACAGATACTGCATATGGAAAAATACTTGCTTTCTTGCCTCCATGAAGCTGTCTGGAAAAGAATGAGTGAAAAGCAAACCCCTCTTTCCCTTTTTCCAGCCTTTCCACACCCCTTCCTATTCCTTTCCCCTGCACACATGCACCATGCTGGAAATAGTTTGAAAGTAAACAGGCCCATAGCCATCATGAAGAATGGGTGTAATGATCAAAATAATATGGCAGCCTATTTTCATTTGGGGAATTTATGACCATTGATTTGACAGAAGCTGGTGGTAAAAGTGCACTTTTATGGGAGAAGTGTGAAAAATCCCTCATATTTGAAATACATTCCAGATGATGTTGGTTTGGTTTTTTTTTGGTTTGTTTTTTTTTTTTTTTTTTTTTAATGTTTGTCGGTTGATTACTATTTATTTGCATTTGTAATTGGTTTGTATATTTTTTAGGAGCCCAGGCTTGTGTTCTTGTGTTTTCTACAACTGACAGAGAGTCCTTCAAAGCAATCCCTATCTGGAAGGAAAAAGTTGTGACCGAAGTTGGAGACATTCCCACAGTTCTTGTGCAGAATAAGATCGATCTTCTTGATGACTCTTGCATAAAGAAGTAGGAGTTTTATCTTACTGTTTTTAAAGAACAATATATGCCTCCTGTATACACACATGTACAAAAAAAATCTGTGGGAGTTTCTGGTGAAAACTTATGATATCTGGGTTGCCAAACCTATGCCCTGCATCAAAATGTGCCCCAGAAGCACAGGTGACAGGTATTGCTGCATGTGTAGTTACTTGGGCAGATGTGCTTGCAAAGCTGGGAGCTTTCTGTTTGCTTCACACTGCCTCCTGAAGTGTCAGCCAAAAAATAGAGGAATAACATGAAGAGTTTGGTTTTGCCATTATATGATTCTCTTTTTTTTTTTTTTTTTAATCAGAAATTCTAAACCTGTAAATTTGCTCTCTTGTTAAAGTTTACCATTACTGTTAATCTGTGCTGTGCACCAGTGAAGTTACATTGTCTAGTTTGGTTAGTGAAGGCTTGCTAAAATGATGAAGTTTTAACAGGTTGTTTGAAAAAGTATCTTAATATTCTTTGCTTCTCTTTTTTTTTTTTAATTTGTTTTTATTGCTCATTTTTATCAAAATACTGTAACTCTCTAGAAATCCATATCTGGTAATATTCTTAGACTGCATGGTGCTGATCCTTCTTGGCTATATTTTCCTTTAGAGATTTTACCATCAGTTTGTTCTGCCTTTCTATATATGACCAATTTCATTCTTGCCATAAAATCAGCTTAACAAATGATAACTTTTACTTACCACAGTATATCATGTAGAAATTGTTGCATGATGAAGTCGATCATTCTCCACTTCTTTATTTCTACCATCTTCCTGAGAGGTTTGAATTTTCTTCTTTTTTGTTTCCTGCTCTGGCTTTCTTTGTTCTCTGTTTGCTATCATTGATGGCATAAATCAGCTTCTATTGCCTCTGAAAAGAACACTGAGGATTTTTCAAAGGAAAAGCAAAATTGCATTTGAACTCCTCCTTTATTCATGGTATGTCACTTATGTTTGTTCTCAGAATACTCCATCTGTCTCAGTAAAGTCATCTTTCTGATAACGTGATTTTCCTCAGTGAAATTTTAGTAAGTTTCCTCAACTTTTCCTTAAAATTTAGCACAAGTTCTCTTTTACTTCACAGGAAAAGGTAACTCTTGATTTCACCTCTGCAATCATCCAATTGCATAGTCTACTGCTTCAGTAAAATTATACTTCAGGATTACTTTGTTGTTGTTGTTTTGACTTTGCAGTGGTAATTGTTCTGATTCTAGTGCTGTTAATTACAGCTTACTTCCTTTTGGTTTCACTGACACCTGTCTTTGAACCCGTGGGAAATTTTAATTAATGAAGTCAATAAATATTCAAAACCAATTACTTTTGATCATAAAGAAACTGCGTGTAAAATACCTTCTTTTTATGATGGAGATATTGTAAAGAAACTAAGGATCAGGTGTTTTTCGACTGTCTGAGGTTCTTAACCCACCTTGCCACGTTGAACTTAGCACTAAGCGTTTTGTCTACAAGCGTAAATGCTGACAAATGATACAAATGAGTATTTACAAAGTTTTCTCCTGTTGTGCAGTGAAGAGGCAGAAGCGCTGGCAAAAAAGCTAAAATTAAGGTTCTACCGAGCATCTGTGAAGGAAGACCTAAACGTAACTGAAGGTAGGAGGTACAGCAGAGTAGCCGTCTGTCCTGCCCGCTGCTGTGTAGCGCTGTACAGCTCTGGTTTGGAGCCGAGCTGTTACTTTCTGGGTTGTTGCATGCTGTTGGCAGTCCTTTTTATAGTTCTTAGCAGCACACCTTAAACGTAGCTAGAATGACTTGATACCAGTGTGTTCAGCCCGTTTTTTTGTGTGCATCTTTCCTTTCTCTTCCACAAACAGTGCATAGCTTCAATATTTAGAAGTGTCCGTGTGTTAAGGCTGCTTAGTCCTCATCACTGTCAGTAAGCACTGAGCTTTTAAAAAAAATTATATGTAGAAGTTCAATTTTTACAATATACAAGTTGTTGAACAGATTATTTTGTAATTGTTAATAGTTAATACAGAATTAATATAAACAATTATTTCATAGTTTAGTTACATTTATTTAAACGAAGAGTATTAAAAGATTCGATCTCTTGCAGCCTTTTTTCTACTGGTGATATTTTATTAGTTCCCAAGTATCACTTTTTAATTTATATATTTAATTTCATAAGAGTACTGCTATAAAACTCAGTATCTTTTGTGGGGTAGGTTTGAATAATCATGGATTGTAGTCTGGTGACTTTTTTGTTTAATCAGGCAAACTTAATAGTAAGGTAATTGTTTCTGCTCTGTTAACATCATTCACCTTAGAAAAAAATCTTCAAGAGAAAATTTGAAATGTTTCTGTATCATCCTTACATGAGTTATTAATTACAAATGTAAATAATCATGACACGTGTAGGTTCTGAAAATTCTCCTACAGTTGTATATTTTTTCAGAATGCTAGGTAGACTTTTTATACCCCAGTAGAAACCAGGGTAGCATTAGTTAATTAGAGGAATGTTGCTGCCAAGTTTTATTAATAAACTTACTTTACATGACTGCTATTATTCTAAGGCTTCTTGCAAAAAATACATATATTAAATTCCTACATAACTTTAAGAAGTCCCAAGTTGCATGACTTGGAACATTTGGCAATATGTATGTGCCAGCATTATTACAGGAGTATTGAGTGTTTCTGTCTGCTGTGCAAGACTTTAGTTCTGTGAACTATAAGACCTGGCTAGACACAGGACTAATCTGGATTCTGCTCAGGTACACAGGCCTGCCGAGAGAGAATGACTTACCAAAGCATGCTAAACCTGTGGGTTCAAATGAGCTTTTGTCACTACACAGAATTCTGATACAAAGGTATTAGTATTGGTATGAAGATTACTTTTAAGCACACTCTGATGTACCTTTTTTCTTCTTAACATTCCAGTTTTTAAGTATTTGGCTGATAAATATCTTCAAAGGCTCAAGCAACAAACAGCTGAGGATCCAGAACTAGTACATGCAAGCAGTAACAAGATTGGTATGTATACTTTAATAAAAAACCACAACCAGTATTTTGTGCCATCAAAGCTTATGGTCTCACCTGTTTCCTTATGGAGTTAACACAAGGTGAATCAGGGTCTAATTACTGCCTTCCTATCTTAGGATATTGTCTCCTTTCCTTCTCTAAAATAACTTTGTGACTCTCTAAAGTTAGAAGACTTTCAAACTGATGAACTAAAGATTCTGGCTAATGTTTGTCAAGTGCCCTTTTATTACACTCGTTTAAACAAACATTGTGTAAGGACTCTAGAAAGGATGCTTGTTGGGTTTTTTAATGTACTTAGCATTAGTATTACTCATCTTGGTGCGGATTTACAAGAGACTCATGGTGAAAGAATCTGGCATGTAATCAGAAGGTCTTTGTAAACTGCATTTTGTAAGGGAACACTGAACTTCTGTAGTGCCTCCTTAAAGCATTTCTGAGTCAGTTAATTTATTTTCCTTAAAGCACTCCCTTTTTATTTAGGCTTTTTCTTTTATCTCAGCAAAGTTTCTAACTTGAAAATTGTCATGTTTTTCTTTTATTATATTACTCAACTAACCATAACTTTGTTACCATGCAATTAGGAGCATACACGTATGCAGATGAGTCCATATGCTGCCCTTCAATTACGTAGATGTATACCAGCTTTAAATACTGCCTGGCTAGTAATTCCGGCCGTCTCTACTTCAAATTTAGCTGCAAAATTGACCCAGAAATAGATAAAGCCTTTAAAAGCCAGAATATGCATTTGAGGTGCACTGCTGTGCCTTAGTAAGTGTTGCATCTTAAGTGTTAATGTATTATGCCGCAGGAAGTAAAAAAATACAAATCCTTTTCTTGTCTTTAAATTCTGTAGGTGTCTTTAATACAGCTGGTGGAAGTCACTCCAACCAAAATTCTAGCACTCTCAATGGTGGAGATGTCATCAACCTTAGGCCAAACAAACAGAGGACCAAGAAAAGCAGAAGTCCTTTTAGCAACTGCAGCATACCTTAGAGCACTTTTGGAGGAAAAAAAGCAACCCAGTGAATTGGATGAAGTTGTGCAATTGAATACAGAATAAAGCCAGCTGTAGAGGTATTTTCACCAGTGCTTTAGCAAATCTTGTGCCTATGGGATCCTTGAGAGAGCGTGGATTTATCTAAATTTGCTGATGCAGTGGTTTTTGGTGTGCAGAGTGAGACACCTGGTGTCAAAACACAGAACCGTGGCTGCCCCGTGCACTTTGTAAAAATTAGGCAAGCTTCTTCTTTCTCAAGGAATTATTCAGAGCTATGAACTAGGTATTACTGAATTGCAAAGCACATTTAATGTAAGGATAATACTTACAAGTGTAGGTACAGACCATAACACTATGGCCCAAGGTAAAGTAGCAACCTTGCAACTAAATTTCAAAGAAAATGTTAGAATTGGTTAGTCAGGACACTAAGAAGATAAATGAAGATCAAAAAGAGGACACTACATTTTATGCCTGAGTATATTAATACAGATTCTGGAAGTTCTGTTCGTGCAATATACTTGTATTATATATATGAGTGCTAAGATATGTATGTAAACATTTGGTATGAATATTTAGGCTAAATTCCAGTGTACACATTACTTGGAGATCAGCTAATGATCATGAAATAGCATCTTCCAAAAAAAAATGTCCTTTAAAAAATGCTGCATTTCAGATGAGGCTTTCCCAGCTGCCAGTGTGTACATTTAACTTGCTATACTTTGGGCCTAAAAGCTTAGATTTACAAATGTATGGTGCCAAAAATGCTCCTGTTTTGTTTGTTTGTTTTTTTGTTTTTTGTTTTTTTTTTTACCTAATGCTGTGCTACAGATGTTTTTATAAGTTTGTTTTTCCCAGTCTTAACAGATTGAACAAATAACAGTCCTTGACACTAATAGCTATCCAGAAGGAACATACAGTCATATTCCTGTTCAGATTTGCTTGTTGCATCCTGTGTTGTCTATGAGAAAGGAACTTGCAAAGTGATGTCACAAAATATTTATCTTCTTTGGAAAATTTTTTCACAGATACCATAAACTTAAGTTTGGAGGATCCAAAAAACCACAGCTGATGACTGAATTACATGAATGAGACTTTCCTGAACGTTGTCTCAGATTCAGAGTTAGCTGCTGGTTACAGAAAATCTAATTCTGGAAGATCAGAGACATGGCAAAAATTTTTCCAAATGCTTAAGTAATTTTACAGAATTGATTTAGATGTGTAGGAGCCCAAATCTAAATTAAAGTTGCTTGGACCTAGGCTCCTAAATCACTAAGGTGCTTTTAAAAATGCTAAGCAAGAGATCTTCTATTTACCAAAAATAAACACTTTTTAATCCTTTTCAAGAGCATGCATGCCTTTTAAATAATATCCATTTTGTTTACATGTTTTTGTATGGTATAATATAATTTTAACTTTCTAGGATTTCTACAACAAACCTGCCAGTGACAAATGCAAAATATGCTGCTTGAAAAATATGCAGATTTTTAATAGTTTTTTAAATGGTGTATGAGAATGAAAATGAATCGAGTGATCCTGTATATTTCTGGAGGAGGGACTTTTCACTGTGTGAATTCATGTAGGAAGCTTGACTTACATTGTTCCTAAGTCAATGAGTATGAAAACTGAAATGTATTCTTTTTCCCACTGTCTGCAGGGAGAGAAGTGGGTGGCAAGTTATGCACAAACACTAAAGATCTCTGAACTCTGTATTTTATGTTTACTATATTAGACTTCCTTCCAAGTACCGTTCTTTTTTGACAAGCTGTTAGAGCATCTCCTGTTGCTGGCCAGAAGCAGCCTTCAAGGCTCTCGATGCCCTTTGCGATCGCAGCAAAACTCTGTGTTCTTCATCGTAATGTTTCCTGTATTTTCTCTTGGATAAAGGCCTTTATTTTTTAACAAGTGCATTTAATCGCCGTATGTATGTATAAATGAAGTCTTATTTGTCTTAGCAATTTAAGAAGTCAGGTACCTACGATAAGACTTACGGTTGTACATTATGGGGCCAACTTACACCTTCAGGATGTAGGACAGAGTGTATGAATGAAGAATATTGACAACTGTTTTTAATATGGACGCTTTTACATTTCATTGTCTGCCAGTTTCACGGGATTTACTCATTTTTCTTGAAAGACAACAAAACCACAAGGTGTCTGAAACATCTTTTTGGCCTTGTTTGACTTTGTACAGAGTTCTGAAAAATAAGTCTATTATGTATAATGACCATTTGTGCTATTACATGTTATACTGTAGACATTGTACTGTTACATAAGCCATTTGTATTTAAGGTCTGTCATTATAAACCACTGTTTTAAGGACTGAAAACTCAGTAGAAATTTTCATAGGTGGAGACTTGACAGACTTGCTAAATTTAGGATATGTTGAAATTTAGTACACCTACTTTAAAGTAGGAATATATATTTGCAGCATTGAGTAACAGTGAGTTTTCATTTCATTCCCATCTTAAATCTGAAGTGGCTCGCTCTTTGTTGTGCCTTTGCAGTGCTTGTTCTCCAATCGGACTGAGATGGAGACTGCCCAAATTAGCATTTTTCTGGAGAGTGCTCTGCATGTATGCTGCTTGAAAATTTATTTTTTACCCTCCTGGGGTTAGTGTGTAGATGTAAACCAGATGACTTGCATATTGCAGGAATCCTTAGGTATTCACGTCACTCTTCAGTGGCAGTAACTTCTGCCTTTTGGGCGAAGAGACATGCCTAAATGTTTAGCACTTGCGTTGTCCCTTGTGAATAATTTTTATTCCAGACATTGCCCCCTTCTCCACTCAAAGCATTCTCAGTAGAGTATCATACGGTTTAGCTACCAGAACCTACTGGTGCAGAGCTGGTAATAAAAATGCCCTTCTCTCTGCATCTCTGGGACCGCGCGGTGGGAGAGGATGTAGCGCTCTGTTACACCCGTGGCAGACTGGTGTCCTGGAGCAGGAGCAACAGGTACTCCTGCCACAAGACACAAAGTTCTGTTCTGTGAGACTAAGCTAACTGCACTCCTGTTTTATCTGTTAATATCTCTTGAATAGCTCACTGACTGTATTATCTGAATCTTGCCAAAATTCTTTTGCTTTCGGCCGATTATGCTGCCACTAGCAGAAAACCTCAGTGGTTGTTAATGTCTTAGTGAAATGAGCATTCACTAAAGAGTATGACACTAAAGCATCTGTCACTCCCGTGTTGTATCCATTCAGTGAATGGGTGTTCTCCCAGGAAGCGGGGCATCACTTGATGCAAAGCGGTAATGCTAGGGATGTATTTCCAGCTGGAAATAACAAATCTCAAAGTTGTAAGACTGAGCACACTAAGATTTTTGTGCCTGTGTGTGTGTGGGTAATTAAAAAAAAAAAAAAAATTAAATATTCCACTTAAGACAATTTTGGAGCTTTCTTATTTTCAGTGTTTCTTAAGGCAATGCTTACCTTTTTTAGTCAAAATGCCTGAGTTACCATACTGTCAGTCAGATTTCCTGTTTAATTTTTTTATGCGTCAGTAAAATCTGTCAGCTTTTTATTTTTTTTCCCCTCCATTATTGGGCTACAGCATATCCGACATGTAGCCTTCCTCTGCATCAGTTCTGTAGCTGTACATTACACTAAAGGGAACTGGGAGGCTGAACACCTTGTGCTGCCTGGAGGTGATGCTGGGTACGTGCAGAATCCTCAGTGAACGCGCACTTTGAACCTGTTAATTCAACTATCTAAGTTGATAGCTGCCAGCTAATAACAGAATTAATGATTTGCACTGCAGAACCCCCTTGTGGGAAGTCAGTCGTACAGCAGACTAACAAGCACGCTTCTTGGATTTCGGTGATGGTACCTGGGCCCCTGCTGCTTTTCTCAATGTAATCGTAGACCTTTGGCTGAAGTTGCAGTACCTGAACACTAATTGTACATAAACCAGAGGGCAGGCATGGTCCAACAAACAGGCTCGATTTCATCACCTTACTGTCTGTCTGTAGGAAGCAACAGTTGTGTATATCTTCTTTTTAATGCTCAGATAGTATTGACAGAAGAAAATACTTCTGTTAAATACGGCATCCAAACAGGTAATCAAAATTGTAGAAGCAAAGAATGTAGCAATGCTTGGATTTAAGGTGAAAGGCGCTACAAGAGAACAAAAGAAACTTCCAAATAGTTCCGTGTCGAAGAAGCGCTCTATAGGAGTCATCTATCTCAAAGCCAGGTGAGCCCTAGTACTGAACTAGACTCATTCTCAGGTTTCTAATAGTAGGGTAATACTGATTAATAATTTGTGGAGTGAGTGTTCTGTTACCAAGGTAAATGTGGTTCAGCAGAACCGACTGAAGTTGGTCAAAAAAAAGGTAAAAATTAATCTGGACCAGGAGAAACACGCTCTCATTGTGAGCATTGTTACTGATGAAAGACTTACTTCTTATTTGCAAGTTCACATGAATCTGAATGGTTAAAACAGATAATGTACGTAACTGTTTTTATCACCATCACGAACTCAAGTAAATGTAATATATTTTTAGGAAAAAAGTCAACATAACTTACCATAAATCCTTAAGAGGAAAAATAAATGTTTAGAGCTAAATATTCTGTGTGTGCTGTTCCCGTAAAGTCCCTATGAGTTAATTCTGCTGTTCTCTTGTAAATGACATTAGTTATATCATGCAGCTTAAACACGTCTATTTGATTACTGTTTGGTCTGAGACAAGTCACTACTTTTGTGATTATATTAAATTGTCAGTGTATTAAATTTCAAAAAAGAGCTGTCACCCTGTAGCTGTGCAACCTGAATCTGCTTGAGAAACTTGTACGCCTGACTCTAGCCCATGTGTTGTGACCGGTTGGGACCCAAGGCAGCATGTTGGACACTCTCAAAGGACCCAGCGTGGGCACCCGGATCTAACAGAAATGCTGTTTCTGAGCTCTTGCCTCTGAGTCTTCACCACACAGTTCAGATACAAAGTATGCATTCTCTTTTTCGTCATTTTAATTTTCATGATTAGTCTGGATAATACAGTGACGAGGTTTAAGTGAATGGTTGTGGACCATTGTTGGAATTGGCATTAAAATATTACTAATGTATCACCAATGCCTGGTGCATTTTCTGAAAGGAATTGGGTAAGGAGGCACGGGGTGTGTGTGTGTGTGTGTGTGTGTTGGTTGGGGTTAATTTATTTTTTTGTAAAACACAGCTCAGCCTCTGGGTCTGCCTCTTTACGCAGGTATCTCAGGAATCTGGGAAGCAATATACTCCTGCTTCCTCTTGCATGCAGGTTTGCACACAGAAAAAAACAATTAGCTTGTTTAACACCCCAATAAGGATTAATTAATTATGATTTAGGCAAGAAAGAATCTTGAAATGTGAGACAACTCAGATTCTTACGGTCATGTATTTTTAGGCTAGGGAAGCGCTTAACTGCAAGCAAGTGAAGACCTTGGGAAAACGGAAGCTTTGCCGCTCACTAATTGAGGGTTTTATGTGCTGTGCAGCTGTATCATGCTCAGCTTCAGGCAGCTGGGTGGCCTTTTAATGGGGCTTCTGCTGCCAGCCCCCGAGATAACCACTGCAAACACCTGGGTGCTCTTCTCGCATCTCTGAGAAAATGTGTCACACTCACAACGTCCTGCTTCCAAGGCTGGTTTATGCTGAGCACTGGAGCGCAGCCCGCTCCATTGCTCAGGAGCTAACGGGAGCAAAAGTTCAGTGGGTTTTCTTAAACCACCTTTGTCCCAGCTGCCTTACACCTGGCAAGCCTTGCCTACTGTGTTTTGGTTTTTGACAACAGAGCACTTCTTAAAAAAGTGAAAAACTTTAGTCGGTTCTTTTGTTGATCTCCATTATGCGTATGATGCCAACTATGTTTAGCTATTTGGAGGTACTTTAAAATAGCCAGCATGACACTACAGTTAAAAAAACAAACAAACAAACCAAAAAATGTGTCTTTTGCTGTGTCTTACAGGTATGACTATGAAAGAAACTTTAGGGACAGTATCACTGGTTTTAAAATTAGATTGTTCAAATCTATAGACTCTTTATTAGATGTGGCATGTCAGTATGCAATCTTAAATCAGAGGAGAGGGTAGTGATGGCTGTATTGCAGACCTCCTGGGGGTCAGGTAACTCAGGGCTTAGGAGGCAAGCAGAAGAATTTGAAAAACAAACAAACCAGTAACTTAGGTCAAAGTAAGTCTAATCTACACTATTGACTCAGCTGTAGCTATGCAAGTTGTGATCATTTTGGCCTTGAGAACATTTGTATTAGCACAAGTGCTGGAAAAAATACTTTCAACTATTGGTACAACAAAGAGAATCTAAAAAAGAAAACAAATCTTAACACCTTTGGCCTGAATGACCTTATAATGGCCTTTAAAAATCCAAACACTGAAGGAATATTCTAAGTGTAAATAAGCTTATGTTCAGCCTGTTTCAGAGAATGATTTCTGAGCACAACCCGCTCCAGAGCTCCGGTTGTGCAGGAGAAGCCTGACATGAAGAGCCTCCACCTGGTGCTGGTGGCATCTCTGGCCCTTCCAGCTCTTTCCAGCTGAGCTTTAACCTGAGCCAAGCTCAGGCAGCCAAGGATGGAGGCACAGAGCCCCCTGATCCCCTCAGGTGACTGCCGCCCCTTGGGGAAACAGTGCAAGACCCACAGGGGTTGCAAAATTCCAGGCTTACCCTGAAATCTGCAGCTTTTGACCCACAGGCATGGAGCATGGCCATGATGGTGTGGAAGGAAAAAAAAAAAATAGAAAAAACTTGCTCACCAAAAGAGTGAGTAATGTTAAATGTAAAAGGTATCATCCTACGCAAGAAACAAATACGCTATCTGCCAGTTGAGAATTCAACTGTTCTGCCCCGTGGCTTCACAGATGACGATGCAAAATGCAGTAGCTGATAAAATACAATTCCCCTTTATATTATCTTTTAAAAAAATTACACAGCAACCTCAAATTGCAGATAGAAGGTTGGGGCAGGTCACCAGGCAGGCGTGGAAGGGTCTACTGTGAGAGCTGGAGCTCATTTCCAGCCTTGGTTGTGACCTTTGGATGGACGTGTTGCTTCAGTTACAAACTGGATGTTTCTATCTCTTGGAAGTATTGTGATCTAGTTATGAATAGTGGCAAATTAGTCAAATTATAAATAGCAACGAGTAGGACAGTGTGTTGTTTATGAAAATACCATATACAGTTTATTAGTGGTTTTGATTTATTGCCAAGATTTGTCTTTTGTCCCCGAAAGTCTGGTTCACACTGTATACAGCAGAGAAAAACTCAAATCTCACAATATGACAAAACAATTTTAGTTCAAAAAAACCCAGGAGAAGGGAGGAAAGGCTAGATTTTGATGGTTTCTGACAGTTCAGCAGAAGCACAATTGCAACTTGCAATAGAGCGGTATCGACTCTACAGGAGAACTGATAGCACTCTTTATTGCCTAAAGAAATGCCAATGCTACCAAACCCCATTAAATGCTCGCACCTTGCAATCAAAGATACTTTGGTGCATGTGCATGCATATGCACGCATGTGCTTGTACAGAGAATTTTTTTCTTAGCTCTTCTGTGTACTTTTCACGGAGATTCGCTCATTCTGCGATTTGCCCGACGTAGCCAGGAAGGCAGTTTAATCCTGTTTGCTGTTGCAAGACTGTCGAACAGATGATTTCTGATGCTCCAACAACGTGATTGACTTTTCAGAATTTTCTAAGTTTCTGAGCAGAGTCTCTAGCCGCCTTTTGATTTTCTTCTGATCCTCAATGGCACACCCGATTACCACAGACTGGAATTTCTGATCGATGGGTCCCGCTGGCACGTCAGATGTGCACGCACCGTAAAGCGACATTAAGCGGATTTTGGCATCTTCCAAATCATCTAGAAGTTTATTGACTATTTCATCGATCATCTTCGTGGCATGCAGTAGGGATTCCTGCTGCTGGGCATTTCGGATGGTTTCTACAGAAACCTCCACAGTGAGGGTTCGGCCCATCAGGCGATTGGCAGTCAAATTAAGTTCTTCCCTCTCACCTAAATTGAAACCAAGGAAGTAAAGTATCCTAGGTTACAGGCAAATACACTCCTGTGCAAATAACATCATCAAGACAGTCAAACTGCCACAACTTTGCAATAAACAAGGTTGTTTTTTTCAAGTAAGTGACAATAAGATTTCCAGCGGCTAGAAATAAGGTTTTTTGCATTTGCCCAAGTCCTACTTATTTCACAGAAATTGGCGTCTTCTCATTTGAAATGAGGCATTAAGACTTACTCACAATGTAAGAAATGCTCTTCTGCTGCTGCTGACACAATGCTGGCTGTGTCACATTAAAGCAAAGCATACAATATTATCGGGAAACATTATTCATTAACAGAACTGGCACATTAAGGACCTTTTGTGCCACTGTGAGGGAGAGACTTAGACAGTACCCCAGATGGCCGTAAAGAGAAAACTGATTTCTGACTACCGGATGCAATTAGGGGCCATGAAAGAAACTGGTTTTCTATTTTCTGAAAACTTATTTTTTTCCTAAAATACGGACACAACATATTTGACATGTAAGCTCTTGAAGAGCCAATAAACCTGCAGTTTAAGGCACCTAATATAAACCATACAGATTTAGGGAATATAAGGCCACGTATCACACAACCACGGCAACAATCTTAATCACCAGGTGCTTGCAGGCTGTACACTTTGTGGCACTCGTGCCTGTCCAGCCGTCGAAGCCATAAATGCTGGTTTTTCAACAATATTTAATCATCATCATTATCACCAACTTCTCTCCCTCAGCTGAGCTAAGTTAACCCAAGTAAATCAGTGAACAGAGTACGAGCTTTCCCAGTGGTGACATTCATGGCAGACCACCCAGCTGAACACTATGTGGATTTGGGATGTCGGGAGAAAGGGGATCCCAGGGTAACAGATGGCCCTTCTGTAACCCTAACGGGCACCAGCAGCGAGCAACCAAACGGAGCTGCTCCCTAAGGCACGGGCTGGTTTGACTTCGGGTCAGTCGGGAGGGTACGGCCAGGCAGCTTCTCACCTTCGCTGATGTGCCTCATATCCTGGCTGTTCTGGATATTGTGGATCATTTCTAGCAGGATTTCTTTCTCTTGTTCCATAGCAGATGCTGCGTCACGGAAAGCCTCTACCCTGAACGTGGCAGAACCAAACAAAACGTTTAAATAATAAAATAGCTGTTTACCCATATAGCTGCCAAGAACTCTTTTTTTAAACTCCATCTTAAGAAGTACAGCCAGTTCTTAATTATCCATAAACCAAACTCTCTGATTTCATGACCTTTTCCTGTATCTTAACTTCACTGTTCAAGATTCAGTATGATTTTTTAAAAGAAACAAAATGGAGGGGGGAAAAACCCCCCGAAACAGTAATAATTCGATCAGACTTAAATTTTTCATTTTACTGACAGTGCTGCGGAGTATCCTGCTCCACCGTTAGTCTGGATATCTAGAGCCTGACGGTACTGCAGTTCCATAGCAGAAATCCTGTAGTTAATTGGCAATTATTATCAGCTGCTTAACTAGAAGAGGAATGGACCAAGTCCCCATCGGGGACCTTGGGGGTGAAGGCTGCAGCTGTGGGGATGGAGGCAGCAAGGGGGCCTGGCTCCCCCGCCGCCCCCAGCCCGCAGCACAGAACCCCTGCGACACACCTACAAAGCAACAAACGCTCCAGAAAACTCAAACGCTGCCTCGTAGCCAAACGACCCCTTTCAGAAGAGAGAAAAACGGGCAAGAGGGACAAAGCTCACACACTTTTATTAACGTGACAAGGGCTTCCCCGCCGAGCGGCACGCCATAGTCCCTGGGAAGAGATGCTGGACCACCTGCCCCCACGGTCACTGGTGTTTTCCATGGAGCAATGCTCGTTGTGATTCAGGGAGGAAGCTTCTGTGGGAGCAGCTCCTCTTTCTGGGCTGCAGGGATGCACAAAACTCGGTTCCTGCCAAAACAGGACCCCTACTCCAGTCCCGTTCACTGTGCTGAAACCCACACGTGATGCAGCGGGGGTGAGGGGAAAGCCCACTGGAAACTGCGCTCCCCCTGAACCACCGGGTCCCAGTAAGCTGCACGGTTACATGCCTGTAGTCTGCCCTCCTCCTTGTGGCATCCTTGAGGTACAGGGCCATCCGGCCCCGGGCAACGTGAAAACACCATCGTAGAATCTGAGTCCAGTTCCTTAATTCATGTCTTACTCCCCGCCATGGTTTTAAGGAGGGGGCTGTTGCGTTCAGCCGAGTAATACAGAAATGCACATCTGGGAACCCTCTACTCCGGAGACCAGGCACAAGAGGGAAACGTCCCCCTCCCTTGGCTTTGCCCGTGGAGGCTTGAAGGTAAGGGAGGGGCTCGCAGAGGACTTGCCAAGCTGCAACTGGCTGTGGGAGCGGTGCCAAAAACCCTCAACGCTGCATTCCCAGACCCCGCAGAAAAGCAGAGTATCACCTGCACCCAGCTGACAGTTTCAGCTGCTTGCAACGCGCAGCTCGGGAGGTCTGGCTGCTGTAAGCAGCGTGGGAATCCATCTATCCTGAAATGTTTATTAAACCCGGCCAGAAAAGGGGAAACAAACCAAAACATTGTTAAGCCTCTGAGATGCTCTGCGCTCTTCAACATTACTGGACACTGCCCTGAAGCGGTGGTGGCTCCTGTAGGTGAGGGCTTATCTCTCGAGACAGAGCTGCTGCTCCTTCCTCAAAGCCTGGCTGAGGAAAATAACTTCAGAAAAACAGCAGGAAGGGAAAGGAGGGCAAAAGAAGGCAGAACAGGAGCATTTGAGGATATAAATAGTCACAGTTCACATGCAGCCTGCTCATGAAATGGTTCTGTTTTACAAAATATTTAGCCTAATTTAGTCAGTGAAAGCACAAGCTTCGAGCTTTGCCTTTCATGTTCATTCTGAGGAGGAGTGAGAAAAGTTAATGCAATGCAAATTCTTGCCGAGAGCAAATACTTTTAATTATTATTTTGGACGGGTTAGTAAGAGCAATGAGGCAGGTGGAGTAATTTCATACTTCAGATGTCTGCACTTTATAATTTAGGAAGTCTAGCAATATTTTCATAAATGCCTCGCCATACCTTTTTAAAAAATTAGTATTATCACAATTTTTAAAAATGCATTGTGGTCACTGGAAAGCTTAAAATTAAAACTTGGAAGTGTAGAATTTAAATTTTAATAAGTGTTTTTAAGTCAGATTCGGTATATCATTGTCCTGACTTAAAGACTACAGGTCTGCTGCCTTCAGCAGATGGATCAATCCATGATTTCCACAGGCTTTGATGGGTCCTCTGAAGAATGTGGAAAAACTGCATTGCAGAGATGCATCCTGAATTGGTGCAATTCTAAAGAGAGCGCCTAAAACATCACTGCTTTCCAAAGCCAGCCACTGGTATGCAAGGTAGGACCTAAAGACCGAATGATCAGAATTAATGATTGTATACTGCAAAACCACCCCCAGAATTTACCAGAGATTAACATTATTTTACAGAAAATCATATAACCAAATCTTGATAACTATTTCATTTGCAGTAATTGCTTCCTGGGAATTATTTTAACCACCTTTTCAACTGCAATGCAGAGTGCCACACAACTAAAATCCACTGGGATTTTAATTTTAGTGTATTTGCTTCCATAAACGGCAGCCAAATGAGAGCCTACCCTGGCACCGTGTAACGGCACGTGAAGGAGGCACACGGGCTCCTGCTGCCGGGGCAAAGGGACAGCGAAGCAGCGCGTCAGGACTCCCCCTCCCCTCTGCTATCCCTTCCAAAAATTTCCAACTGGAGCAATTATGAGCGGCGTGACAGAACTAAATAACGCTAAAAAATCAACTCCTTGGGTTTCAGAGACCTCTCGAGGGCAGGGTGGAGGCAGAGTGTGATAGCACAGCACGTTGGCAGGGAAGGCAGCATCGCAGCAGCCAGACAGCGGGAGTCGCAGGCTCAAAGAGAAGAGGGGGAAATGGGCCTGAGAAAGGCAAGACAAGGGAGTGGAGGAAACGGCCAGCTGTTGTTGCTAGGGCCCTGGACTTCATGGAGGTCAAAACAGTGGGACAGGATCATTTCAGAACAGAAAAACAAACAAACAAACAAACAAAAAAAAAAAAACAAAAAAAACAGGGAAATCACTGACACCAGCCTCAAGAAGAAAACAGTGCTCCAGAGAAGATGCTGAGGGGCTTTATCAAGGTGAGGCACCTCCCACTGCCTCTCCTATTTGGGCACCCTGGCTCCATGCTGGGGTGGGTCCCACCAGCTCCTCCTGGCCCCCCACCCCTGCTGGGATTGCACACCTTCCCCTCCTGACTCACTGCAAGAGTGCCAGGTCCGCACCTTGAGGTCAGCTCCCATAACTTCTTTCCTAAAATGTGCTTTAACTTCATGGGTCTGTGTAAATCGTTACTTTCTTGGGGTGGGGGACAAAAAAAAAAAAAAAAAAGATCTCTAAAAAAATTAGAGATAAACCTCTAGCAGAGGTGACGGCTGTGGAAAAGGGTGGAAACACAATTAAAGTCTCAAAAAAACCCCCAAAGAATAGAAGGCAAAGAAAAGAGACCACAAAACACTCATACTTATTCCCAATTATCAATTATCTCAATGCACTAGCATGGTCTTTTTCTAACAGATGACAACATCCAATCATATTTTTACTTGGAGAGTATTTGTCACTTTGAATATCAACTAAATATTCCATCCATTACCTAAGACTAAAAAAAACATTCCTTACTTCTGATTTTCCCTGGTCTGAGAGTGCCTAGCCACACAGTGCCTTTCTTCCCTACATACCATTGACATGAGCAGAGCATTCCCCCGAGGAACAGGTGGACCAAGCCTGCGCTTTTGTTTCCAGATGAGAAACTCGATACCCGCTTTCTTAGGACAGCTGCAATAACTCTGCCCTTTAAATTACTGACTGACTTAAATAACCCACTATTAAAGCTTATGTGCTGGAAGTGCAGATAAGTTTTCAAAGGAAATAGGAAACATCTGAAGATGGGGCAGCTTTTTTCCTGAAACAGAGCTGAGCAAGGCAGAGACAAAACACGAGTTTCAACCTGGCATCCTCAGCTGTGTAAACTGAGTTTCTGTTCTCAGGTGAGCGGCCCCATGAACATACAAATGAATGCTGAGGGAATACAGTTGTTCCGAAGGAGAACAGGAGAAAAAGTACAAAAAATTAAGATTAAAAAAAAAAAAAAAAAAAAGCGAAGAGTCTGACTTGTTTCATTACACCTAGGACTGCGTGTCCACTTAACACAACCACCAGAACACCACGGTGACTCATGAACAGAGACTCTGGTCCCACTTCCAGCTGCTCCTGAGGCGTCTTGGCATTCACCAGCAGTCGGGACATCACGGAGTTCCAAGCCCCCTTACAAGGGACAAACATACCGCCTGCCCCCCTTGCTGCCCCTGCCAGGGGGCTCGCTCCCTGGCAGCCAAACTAATCCCCCTTTCCCGCTCACTTTCCCTACAGAAGGAAATCCCTATGCAGACACCTAGCAGGGAGGTACAAAAATACTCTGTTACTGTTGGAAAAGCAGCTCTCACAGCAGAAGGGAAGAGAGAAAAGGGAAGGCTGTTCAAACCAGAGCACTTCCAAAGGGATGAGGGTTGCCTCGGGGTTTGGCTGACCTTAAGCAACTTGAGAACTGAGGACTGTCGAGGGGTTTAATTAAAGGCTGCAGTTCACTTTGACAAATTTTCACTTATTATATTTACAAGCAATATCTCAAGGGTCTATAGGTAAACTAGACCGGCTGGAGAAGGAAGTGTGGAAGCTCTTCCTCCTGTCATTCAAATAACTTTGAAATGAGGCATGATGATTTAGTTGTGCATGGAAAAAAAATAAGACGCAAGAGACTTTGGTTAAAGTAGACTGACTCTTTTTTTCGTAGCTGTTTCACATTTAGAATTATATCTGTTTGAAAGACCCACAGCAAACTGGAGAGTTTAATTTGGGGTTTAATTCCTGGTTAACCAAACTGTCTATTTTGCCTCAGAGTCGCTCAGCAAATTTAAAACACATCTTTGCATATTCTGCTGCTCATTTTGTGATTATATATTCATGCGCTAGACCTGGATGTGAGCAGTGAGACTTGTTTGCAGACGGTGATTTTGTTTAGTCAAATTCAGAGAAGTCTGCGAAGGACTTCAAGGAGATGTAATCAAGCTAAGCAAAAGGCTAATATAACAGCACATGAAGTCCACTCCTGAATAATGCAAAGTAATGCAGGCAGAAAGGGGAAAAATGCAACTCCTGTATCCCACATAGCTCTTCTAATTACAGGAAAGTCCTAGAAACATTCTGGGTGGTTCTGTGAAAGCTGCCGATCAATATGCAGCTGTAATGAAGGAAAAGGGCATGTTGAAACAGTAGAGGCAGGAGGTGAATCAGTGGTACACCCACAGCACCCCGCACATCCACCCACCTCAGAAGGGACACTGTAATTAGGCAGAGCAGAGAGGACAAGGAAGGTGATTAAAGGCAAGGAATCATCTCTCATGGGGCAGAACTTGGGGTGGAAAAAAAAAAATCAAATGGGATTATTTGGGGGTACATCAAATAGCAGAAAGAGACGGGACGTGTCTTGGCACAACGATGAAATACGCCATCGCATTTGCAATTACTTCAGAAAAACACACCTCAGCTGCAGAATGCAATGCAATTCACGTTATAGTTACATGATTTGTTACGCTTCAGAGAGGAGGGGGACATCGACATGGGTAACAAGAACGCCCACAGCTGAACCAGGGAGTGCAAAGGGAGGTTTGGGACACACGAAGCCTGACACGCTGGCACTTGACACCTGCGGCTTAAAGGCTTGCAAGAGCCTCCAAGAGCCCGAGCGATACCACATTTTAATTCTCGGCTTTCCTGCATCTTCTTCTGAAAGACCTGGCCGACAGAGGCGGGGAAGGGGCCATGGGGCTCCAGCGTGGGATGACGGTCACGACCCATGGCAGGGCTCAGAGGCACCTGTCGACTGCAGCCCCGGCACCCCCTTTGCTAAAGACTCCCCAAACCGTAAAGGGTAACAAACCCCAAAAAGCTTTTCGCACTTTCTCTGAAAAAAAAAAAAAACCCTGCCTATTTGCATACATCCACACACATATCCCCATTTTCACGTGTTTCCAGGCCACGCTATTTCACCTTAGAGCAGCAGCTGACATCTGCAAACTCCCCCCCCCCCCCCCCCGCCCCTCACGAAGGGGGAATCGTTTTTCCCCTCAGGAAGCCCCAGCCCCTCCGCGCCGCTCCCCTCCCGCCCTGCCAGGGTCTGGCTGTGAGGAGCCGCCGGCTCCGGGGCGAGGCGGCTCCCGGGGGCTGCGGCCCCCTCCTCCTTCTCCTCCTCCCCCCGCTTCGGGCCCGGCGCTGCCGCCGGCCCGCGGAGCCCCGACCTGAGCTCCAGCTGGTCCAGGTTCTCGAGCAGGCGGCTGGAGCGGTCCGCCATGGAGGTGGAGCGGTAGAAGCGGCCCCGGAGCTGCCCGCCGGCCGGCGGCTGCTGCTGCTGCTGCTGGTGCTGCTGCTGGTGCTGCGGCTGCTGCTGCGCCGCCCCCTCGCTGGCCTTGGCGCTGCTGATCTTGGCCTGGGCCATACCCCGCGCCTGCTGCCGCCGGCGGAGCCCCGCTGCGGCTGCGGCTGCGGCTGCGGCCGCTCCCTTCCCGCGCGTCCCGCAGGCGGCGGCGGCGGCCGAATGCCGGCACCTCGCTCATGGCCAAAGAAGGAGCCCGCCCCGCCGCCTGCCCCCGCGGCCACCCCGCCTCCGCGCCGGGCCGCGGCCCCGCGGGCGCCGCCTCACGCAGCGCGACGGCCCGGCCCGGCCCGGCCACCCCGCGGGACCAGGCCGCGGCCCCCCCCCCCCCCCCCGGCAGCCCCACGCACCCCCCTTCCCCCGCCGCAGAGACACGGGTGGGGGCAGGCCTAGCCGGGCGGCGGGTCACCCGCGGGAACGACACCCACAGTGGGACAAGTGTTGACGCCTCGGTGGCGCGGCCCGTCCCACGCGGTGGGTGCCCGAAAGCGGGGCCCAGCCACGGCGCGCCCCACGCGGGGCGGCCGAGGGGCGTCTGTGCTTCTCCGAGCTGCCCCCACTTCGGTCCCCGGCACCCCTGGTCGCAACAGCAGCAGAACCCAGACCAGCCGAACGCACCCTAAACTCTGCCTCTCGCCGAACCACAAGCTAAGGGAGGAATAAGGAGGCTCCCCATGTCTGTATCCACTTGAAGACAGTAGCTGTTCGTGTGAGGATTTGCCTTCCAGAACCGTTCTACACCGGTGGTGCGTTGGTTTGCTCTTTAGTTACAGGAAACGAGGAAACCCCCACCCACCACCCAACTGTTACTCAAGAGCAACAAAACAAAAAGCTACTCAAAAAGCGAGCTGCAAAGCAGAAACATCTGAAAACGCCAGAAATGGAGGGAGGCAAAGAAATGCTTTAAAAACCCAGAAGCCTGTTTGGCGGGATGGACATATTGGAGAAAAGTAAACCAGAGACAGCCTTTACTGTAAGCAGAACCAGAACAGCATTTCAAAAAACAGGACACTTCAGATACTGCCACCGATAGCACATCTTTCTGGTGCCAACAGTAAGAGCCCCCTGAATACCTGCAGGAAGGAACCTGTTCCACTAGCCGTTATTGTCCAAGATAGGAGAAGGCTAACTGGAAAGAAAATCGCTTAATGTTCTCTTTCTATGCCAGAATGAAAAAATCATGTATTTCATTGTAGCCAAGGTAGTGGATCTACATTTAGTAATGACTTTTTCTGAGATCGTACTTAATGTGACTGCACAGAATGGTACCTTCTCTCTGGCAAGCACCCACTGTACCAGCTTAGCAAACAACTCGCACAGAATCTCTTGTACTTCAGGTTCCTGCTGGCAGCGTTGGTTCCAGCAATTCAAGTCACACATTGGCTTTACTTGCCACTACTGTGAGTATTTAAAAAGGAATTTGCTTATCCTGAAAGTCCAGGTTTGGGCAAATACACCATGGCTCTAAGAGACCAGTTTTTGGCACCCAGCTAAGAGGGATTTTGTTGCACAGGGATACTGTTTTGTATGCTTATCCTGCTGTGATTCAAAATAGCTGTTTTCTCAGGTTCGTCCATTCAGAATGATATCATGTCCCAAGCGCGCTCGTTAAATTAATTGCCTGAGTTTTCTTTGTTTTACGTAGTGGAATAAGTAAGGCTTGTTGCCTGTAAGCTCATGGAAATAACTTCATTTGAGCAGTTGTTCCATCCATCTCTCTACAGTCTTTGTAGAAGATAATTAAAAACCGCTTCCCACCCCAAACAGAAACCATTTGTAGCCATGACACACAGTTTGCAGCCATTTTTCTCCTTGGTTCCTTCTATTCTTCCCATGCCAATTATTAAGTATCAGTTAGATCAGGTTCAAAAAGCAGAAATCAAAATAGCTGAATGGTTACGAACTTTTTTCTCCCTTGCACATGGGTTTAATTCTACACAGGTGGAAGCTGTAATGAAACAGAGGCACAGTTGTGTCCAGACATATCGTGTACAGTTTATCCTCTTTAACAGCAAAATGGCACTTTACCCTAGAAGTGAGAATAGGAGAAACCATGGAACCAAGACACAAGTTTAAAAGCAAAAATGGACTAGCCTCAACATTACTGCCTGGGCAATCTGGGATATCTTCCCATGTAGAAACTTGGCAGGATCATGAAAACTGCTTTCCCCACTCTTTAGCAGTGTAGATTTTCCCCCTGTCCTATTTCTTGGAGAGATATGTAAAGGGGCAGCAGTCACCACTTTTTCAAAATAATAGATGGCTGGGCTGGAAAGACAGTAGTCAGTCTCTGGAGGAAAGGAAGTGACTCACAGCTGAATTGGGAGAGTTTGGGGACATAAAAGGCAGGAATGGGGTCCTTTAGGGTCACAAGGCAACAGGAGGAGGAAGGGCCCCCACATCTGAAACGGACAGATTTCTTCCTCCTCCTTGCAGTCTGTGGTGAAGAACCATGATGGCTGGGTCAGGCCTGCTGGTGCTGCCATGCCTGTGTCCCCCCCTCGTCTTCTCCACAGCCCTGCTCGGGCTGTGGGCACCAGTGAGAAGAACATGGGGAGAGGGTGTGTAGCTCATGGTTTCTGCACTCCTGCCTCAGCAGTGAAGCTGCTGGCTATCTCTTCGTTTAAACTACAGCACTGTAAAAAAGGCTCGCCACTTGCGAAACAGCAGTGTGCAGGAGAGTGTCATTCACATGCACAAAGTCCCTTGAGGTAGCAGAAAGGGCAATTTTCCCAGGTCTCGGGCATTTGATGTATCCATATAAGTCCCAGAGCCAGGGAGATGATCTATACCAAAAACACTGCCAAATGCTAAATAGCACCTTAGTTCCAGCTTTGCCTTATTCCAAACCCTGATATATACCTTGTCACGTACCCCAACGCTTACATATGAGCTGTCATGTAGCAGGATCAAAGAGAACGTCCACACCCAAGAAATGCCACGCCAGATTATTTTCCTTCCTTCACCCACAAGAATTTAATCTGCAGAACCTTCTTTATACCCAGGTGTTATGGAAACACAACAGTTCCCGTACATAGCAGAAGGATGCTTGGCTTGGGCCAACCAAGCAAAGCCAGCTTGGTCTCCCCAGCTCTGTAGCAATAGCAATAAAGATGGGCCAATGGGAGTTTTTAGGATCTGTTTTCAATCAAAACACGCACCTGCTGAACCTGTGCTACTGTGTCTCTACTGCTACTGTTACCAAGGCTAATTAAAGCCAGCCCCGGCTTTGCCTATATGCACCACAGCCATTTTACTGCGTCGGCAAGCCCTGAGGTCCCAAGCCTGTCAGAAGCCTGAGTGAAGCCCTCTATCTCCGAAGCAATCTGGAAGCTGGGATGACCATCTCGGGGCATGCAGCAGTTCAGTCTCACGGAGAGGAAAATTGCGTAGTAAATGAGCCAGTGAATTCTGTGCTGCTGCAGACGCTCAGCCGCTTGTCGATGGAGCCAAAAAAACAAATGGAAGGACTCACAGAAATTAGGATGCAGCAGTCAGTGAAAGTGAACTTCCGCAGATTCAGAAAGGGAACTTTTCATTAAATTTCCACGCATGCACACTTGCTATAAATTTTAACTTGTTTACATCTTCTTATCATAATATCTTATCATAATATCAAGCAATATCATAATATTGCTTGATACAGAATGGTAGAACAGAGCTCTATACCACTTAAGAATTTCTACAGGAAACTTGAGGAGGTTTAGAAGTGTCAAAGAAATATGCAGATGCAGACTTTAATATAAAGCTACTTAGCTGGAAAGAGTTGCCAGAAAGTATCTTTGTGCTAATGTTAGCCAATTTTGCTAAATTAATTTTGAAACAATTCGTCATCTGTCCTCTTCACCTCCTTCCAGTTTACAGCAGTCATTGTAAACATTGCTAACACAGCACAAGCAGATGATAGAATGCTTTCCTTTTAAGAAAGAAGACAGCCTAACTTCATACCTCTATACACTTCACCTTATTTGGTAAAAATGCAGTAAAGGTTTGCATTCTGTAGCTGCTGCAAGAACAGTAGTGGTCATTTCTGTATACCTTGAAGAGCTAAGAAAATTAACCCACCACCCAAAAACACATACAAAGCAAATACCTTACAGTAAGCTAATCTCATTATTTTTAGTGGTTTTTTGTTTTGTTTTTTTCTCAATATTATTAAACTACAGAGGCAATCAGGCAGGCATGATGTTTTAGTGCTCCAGTGACTTTCATAAACATTTGCACTGACTTATTTGGCATCTCATCTCTGAATATGACCAAAAGAGGGATTTTGTTTGATATGAAAGAATACGGCACACAAAGCACTGAAGAGATAAGAGCCTTGTACCAATCTCATCACCATTTCTGAAACTTACGCATGCACCACACAGAAGTTAAGAGCATTAAATTGAACAGCTGGTGGTAGCCAGGTGGAGATTACTTTTTTCTCATTAAATACAAAAAAAGCACCACAGGGTTACTTTAGACTAATGAAGGGTGAGCTCAGACATCACCACAAAAGCAAATTCTCTGAAAAAGGGCAGGACAGACTGCTTGTAGTACAGATATAAAGGATGCTGGGCAAACTCCTTTTAGCAGATGAGTTGTGCCTGTAAACAGACAAATCTCTCAGCATATGCAGGGCAAACCTCAAAAATTTCAGCCAGTTAAACAAGACTTCCCAGGCAGAAATATTAAATTCTAAATGCAACCATTTACAAGACACTTTTTCCAGCTGAAGAACAAAGTGCGGTACCACGAGACGGTGGTGAATAACAAGTCACATGTCTGTACATGTAGCATTTTAAGAATCCAATTTTCTCTGCTCTTCTGGAAACAGGAGTATCACAATCACAAGCCTGGGATGGCAGAAAATTTTGCAGAGAAAAATTTTAGAGAGTTAATAGAACCTCAAAGAGACCGAAGAAAATTAGGGCAAATTTCAAGATGACGATATTTCTGGAGACTACTTTTAACATAAAAAAAATACAGAGACTAGAACTCTATTTTGCTGCTTTATAAGAGCCACAGGAGGAGGGGGGGATTTGCTACTTGTTTTGTTAAGCAGTTGGAAGCCAATATAACGTGTTGAATAACTGGAGCACCAAGAATAGAGAATGTGTGTGCACACATGGCACTTTCTTTTGTTGTTGTTGTTGTTGTTGTTTAATGCAACCGATTAAGTCATGGCCCATCAGGTACAAGCCAACTTTACATTTATGACAATGTTATGAGGAATAAAGCACATGATCAAAATCTAACATAGCAGACTCTGGACAGG